AAAAAAAAAAAAAAAAAAAAAAAAAAAAGTGCAAAAAAACAAACACACAAGAAATATATATATATATTCCCTTTTGAATGCTGTAGCCTCCAAAAAATCTAACCTACCACCCACCGATTGTCGTTAAGGGATATATGTATTTATATATACATATAAAATATACATACCCATTGTAATTTACGCTCGGCCAATGCGCAGCGCCTCGTTCCTTCTTCTTATTACGCTCGTTCTCCACATTCTCTAAACTCTCTAAAATTACGTATATATATATATATAATATATATATATATATATATTTATATATATTTCTATTCACTATCTATTTACTTTTACTTACCCTTTCGATCCTATTTTATACATGTTACGTATACGCATATATACGCAAAGTCATATATGTACGAATATATATATATATATATATATTTTATATATATGTATATATGTAAGATACAAATATGTACGTGTATGTACGTATATGTATATGTACTTTTATAATATATATATATATATATATATCCCCGCACGAATGAGAAACGCTTCGCTGCCATTGGCCACTTGGTAAAAGGAGGGGGTGGAGCCAGCTTTTAGCGGTGCTTACTTTTTTTTCTTGATTTTTATTTAAAACGCTGGTTTACTTTTTTTTTTTTTCACGTTCGTTCACGTTTGTAAGGAAGTTGATGAAACGCAGAAAGGAAAAAGGAGAGAGAGAAAAAAAAAATATTTATCATGCGTTTTACGCCGGATATAAGTGACGGACCGCGTGTTGAAATGGATGGATTTATAATTCACGTGTAATTCGCCAAAATATTTGCGAAAATAGAGAGAGAGAGAGAGAGAGAGAGAAAGAGAAAGAGAGAGGAAAGAAGGAAAGGAAAAAACGAAGCGTGCGTGTAAAATATTTTTTTTTTTTAAAAAAAAAAAGGACGACGAACGTCGGCAGATTATCGCTTCCGCCTTCTCTTGCGTTCTTCTCAGTTGCCTGCTTGATCTTTGCCACCGTAACGACGACGAGGAGGAGGAGGAGGAGGAGGAGGAGGAGGAGCAAAAAAAAAAAAAAAAGAAAAATAGAGAAAGAGAGAAAAGAAAGGAAAGAAAAGAAAAGAAAGAACACACACACACACACCCACACGGAGAATATAAAAGACTCGAGGGAAAACCGAAAACCGAGGGGGAGAAAAGAAAATTGAGGAAGAGAAAAGGAAAAAAAAAACGGAGAAAATGGAGAGAACCGTGGATGGAATACGATAGGACGGAAAGAGAGAGAGAGAGAGAAAGAGAGAGAGAGATATGAATTATAAGAAGGAAAAGAAAGAGCGAGAGATAGAGAGAGAGAAAGAGAGACTGTACAGAGAAAGATCGATAGAGTGAAAGAGAGAAAGCGAGAGAGAGAGAGAGAGAAAAGATTGAGAGATCGATGAAAAGAAAAAGAAAAAAGAAGAAGAAAATGGTATCGAGAAAGAGAGAGCGAAAGAGAGAGCGAAAGAATAAGAAAAGAGAGAGAGAGAGAGAGAGAGAAAGAAATGAGAAAGAAAAAAGAAAAAGACAATAATTTTATTAACGTACGCACGCACGCGCGCGCGTGACAAAGTGCTTCGAAGATGTCGAACATGATGATCGTTCGGTAGTGACCGTGAAACGTGTTGCTTTTGTTCTCTTTGCGCAGGTGAGTTGAGATTATCTGAGTCACCATTCTGATCTCTGAGAGATTACCTTTGCGCGGGGGAAGCGAGGGAACTAGGGGAGGCCAGCCGCTCGAAAAATATATATATATAACCAAAAAAAAAAAAAAAAAAAAAAAAAANTATATATATATACGTGCATATAACGTATATATCATAAACATCATAAATTTAAAAAAAAAAAATAATAAAATATATATATATATATGTATATATATAATAATGAAAATCGTTCCGAAAATACCAGAATCTATATAAATATAAATATAATATAAGAGAAAGAAATATGTCGGATGTAAAAAGTCTGTCTGATGTATATATATATAAAAGCGAAGCCGAAAACGGATTAAATATAACAAAGTATAATATAATATATAATTAATATAACATCGAAGAAGAGAAATATCGTTTTGCTTCTTCTCGAGCGTCCTCGATCTCGATGGATCGTCGATACCCATAGAGAATGGATAATAAAATATGCGGTTAAATATATTTACCGGTTCAGACTGACGGGACGCACGGACGGATTTAAAGATATATTATGTGTAAAGGGGAGGGGGTGGTTTCTTCTTTTTTTTTTTTTTTTTTTTTTTTTTTTTTTTTTTTTTTTTTTTTTTTCTACTTCAAAATATGCGAACAAATTTTGTTAATCATTCGTCTAACCGTTCCTCTCTTGCTTGACTGATCTGTATGTATGATGCGTGTATGGGTGTGTATATGTACGTACATTAGCATACCTTTGGATGGTAGCCGAATAGACACGAGAGCGAGTCCAGGTGAACGAGATGGAGAGAAAAAAAGGACGAGTTAAATGGTGCGAGACTGCGAGCGAAAGGGTGGAGCGAGCGAGAGCGAGCGATAGAGAGCGAGCGAGAACGAACGAGAGAAAGAGCGAGAGCGAGCGAGAGAAAGAGCGAGAGCGAGCGAGAGAAAGAGCGAGAGCGAGCGAGAGAGAGAGAGAGAGAGAGCGAGAGCGTCGTGTGGGCGCGTGTTTGTGCCGCGTGAACGTCGAGCGCGTGTACGGTGCATATCCATTTGGAAGAAAGGAAGAAAGGAAGAAAGAAAGAAAGAAAGAGAGAGGCATCGTTGAGTCGCTGAAATGCTCTTCATGGTATGGCGAAACGAGACCGTAACGGTCCTCTTCGCAGCCAGCCGTACGGGATCGAGGCAAAGAGCCGCGATCGAGCAAAGTAGCGAAAGCGTGTGCGTGAGAGCGAAAGAAAGAATCTGAAGAGGGAATGGCGACGAGCACAGAGGGGCGGGGACGCACACGGAAAAGCGGGTGCGGCATAAAACACTTAACATGGGACAGAGTTGACGGACAGCCGGTTCGAAACACGGTGACTCTTTTTTGCTGGCTCTACCCTTCCTCTTGCTTCCCCCCACAAATATATAGAAATACGTATTATTATAATATAGTAGTATACATTTACTTTTTTTTAAATACACAATTATATATATATATTGCTATATATAATAATTGATGCATACTAAAGTTTAAATATATATATATATATATATACGTATTATAATTACATAAGATTAGATTAAAGAAATAAGCGTTGCAAATTACGAGATAAATTAATTAAGGAGCGTGGAGAGAACTGTTTAAGGGAGAGAGATTTGTTCGTTTCAGACTCGGAGGAGACGTCGAGTGGCGGTGGCTCGCAGTCACCGACTCACATTCGCATCAACTTCGAG